GTATCAGCCCACATACAATCATGACTATTTCCTCAAACCTTACGTACATCCTGCATCGACCATCACGCAGCTTATCAAGGGTCACCTTTTCTGCTGCCTGCCGCAGGGCGGATAAGCGAAAACATGTTACTGCTGGCGCCTCCCTTTTTTCTTTCCCACCTGTCTCACTTACTCCCATCCCAAGCTCCATCAACACGATTTGCTTCTATAGTTCACATTTTAATTGACAGCAGCAGTAATGCCACTGGAGTCGAATCATCTGCAGCCACCTTCCCGCGCCAACCAGTAGACGCCTATCGGCAACAGTAACCTTATAAGGCCACGCCGCCCCCTTTCTCTGGTGACGTTCAACGTTCGCACTCTAAGACAAATAGGTCAACAGGCTGCACTCGCACCTCGTGTTGCTTATCTGAAACTAGGATCAATCACTCTGTTGGAGTTGTTGAGTTAACTGTAACCGACATGTCCTCTCGTTATTGGCTGTATGCATCCGGAGACACTGATGCGGCAGCCTCTGGTCAATCTGGGCTAGGTATCGTACTCAGCTCCAAGTCTGAATCCTCGTTGGTTGATCGGATTTCGGTGGACAGCCGTTTGTGTGCTACCCGTTTGACGAAATCGACCAAGATTTCTTCACGAAGCAGTATAAGACGCTATTTGTTCTTGGATTCCGCTTACGCTCCCACCGATTGCAGTTCTGATACTGCGAAGGACACATCATGAACTGGACACGCTAGTACGCCGTGCTAACAGCACAGGTATGAAGATATTTGCATGGGATATGAATGTACAAGTATGTCGCCTGGGCTTTTCAGAAATTCAGCTGGGTAGTAAATATGGGCTTAACTGCTACCGTACGGACAGCGGCGAGTAACCTTCGCAACTGGGTGCGGAGCACCAGCTGTTCCTTAGTAGCAATGCTTTTAGAAAATGTGGGCGCCGAAGTGCCACTTAGCGTCCTGCTGTAGCCGGCCAGCGATGGACACGAGTAGATCACGTTGCCATAAGTTACAGGTGGTGTGGCTACATTTTGGGTTGTCGTTCGTTCTTGAGTACTTCCGTCGACTCTGGTCATGCCTTAGTACGCTGTTGTTTCTCCATGAACTATACCAAGAGGCGCACCAAACGTCTCGCTTGATTGGCAACTGAGAAATTGTCTCAGCCCTCGTACAGGCAAGCCTACGAAGCTGCAGTGCTTACCGAACATTCACTCACTTGTCCTAATGAGACTGAGCTTCAGTGGAATAGGATGTCGGTCGCCATACACGACGCAGGTGCATCCGCTTTTGGTAATATCAATCGTCACCGCACCAGTCACTGGATATCCGAGAGGTCGGCGAACCAGTTGGCATCCAGCAGAAACCTCCCGGTTGGCTCTGAACACAATATGACCAGATGCGTTATTAGGCGCGAACTAAAGCGGAGCCTACGTGCTGACAAGGAAGCCTGATGAACTAGTCGGGTGCAAGAAATGGAGGATGCAGGAGCAGTAGGCAATTACCGCAAGCAATTCCAGCTGCTCCGCACCACTGATCCCAGGAAACCAGAGGTCAGTGAGGCAATCAGAGACAGCGCGAGTGCAAAGATACACAATAAGGAACGCCGTAAGGCTCGTTGGACAGAGTACTTCAAAGATCGGTTCAATTTACCCCCTGTTCACGGACATCTTCCTACTCAGAAGACGCAGTATGAGCCTTGGACGTTTCGTTTAGAGCCTCCGTCGGAGGCCGATGTCCGAAACGCGATCACAGCCTTCAATCGCTTTTGTGCTGTTAGCCCGGATTCTCTCCAAGCTGCAATATTTAGGGATGGAAGTGAGGTCCTGTGCAAAGCACTTATCTCCCTATTCGAATGCATCGGGAAGGAAGAGAGTCTCCCGGCTAATTGGAGCGTATCAATGATAGTGGCAATATACAAGAAGGACAGTCGCCCAGACTGTTCTAACCACAGGGGCATTAGTCTAACGCCAGTTGTGACAAAATTACTGGCCTCGAGTCTCGTTCGTCGCCTCACTGTGGAACAGGAATCTCGGATTAGGGAAGAGCAAGCAGGTTTTCGCCCAGGAAGTGACTGTATAGACTATATATCCACTCTGTGTCAGGTGCTAGAGCAGCGCCACGCATACCGCAGACAGACAATAGCTGTGTTCCTTGACTTCAAGAGTGCGTTCGATTCAGTCGATCGATCGATTCTGTCCCTAAAGGCCTTCGTTCGGTGCTTAGTGAAGTGCTTTTTACAACTAGTTATTGTTAACACTACTTACTTTGACAGTATAATGAGCATTTTACTCGGAAAAAGGAATAACTGGTAGATCTAAAACTAAGTTCGTGCTCTGGTGACCTGCTAGACTACCAGTATGAACATTCTGTTAACAAATCTTTTTAATAGATAGAAGAAATATTTAATTGAACGAGTTACCTACTAACTCATCGATCACAAACTATGGGTTGTATGGATTCCATAAACCTTGCTGTTTCCCAGTTTACTTCTGGAGTCTCAACAACAACAACGGCCCAAATTTGCCAACACCAATCCGTCACACAGAGAGAGTGATCCTGTTTCAGTGTGTGAATAACACCTTATTAAAGAGCTACGAGATTGTTGACTAACCATAGGCAGTTGTCTCCATTCTATACAATCTTTGTTTGGACTCACAATTGGAGCGCTGTATTGCTAAGAGACAACTCATCATGAATACAGTAGGCCAGTTAGGGAACGTTGTCACTCAGCATGGAACAGTGAGTACGCCGCGGTATTCCATATTTAAGCAATGTTATTTGGTAACAACCCGACGGATTAGTTGAAAGGCAAAACTCGGCTGTACACTTGGTTCCATAAGTGAGTTTAAGGTCGTCACATAAAAAGACAAATGGTTTGGTCTTGAGAAACCAAGTAGCACCACCTGTAGTGTGTAGTTTTCTGAGGAATACTTCGGTGGAGTTGAGATCCAGTATCAAAGAATACCATACAAATTATAATAAACATACACCAATGCCTGTTATCAGGTGAACTCTTTACATTTGCCCGTGGGTGTGTACTAGCGACCGATCAAGTTTAAACGAATCCCGAGCCTGAGTTACCAATGTGTTTGCTATCTGTTTGAATAATAAGCCATGAAACTTACAAAACTAAGACGACAAATGCAAACAGCAAACAATTCCCCTTATCTACAGTAATCACTCATTTCGGTGTTTCCACTCGCTACTTCTTTCTGATTTATTTGCCTTTCCATCAGTGTTGGTGTCCAGTAAGATGAAGCACTGTGGAAGGAAATCCACAAGTATTCCAATTCGTAACCTTAGTCCCGATTGTCAAACGCGTATTAGTGCGTTGGATCCCTAAAGAATATTCCTCTTTTGTTCTTTGTTCATTTTTATTGATGCTACAATAGTAGAAAAAACGAAATTTCTACCGCACAGGCAATAATTTGTGCAGGTCACCGGGCTACGCTTACACGGATTCCCAAACGTGTGGGCATGACCAAAATGAATCTATACTTAGATTCTACGCTACACATACGACACGTGGTGTAGAAGTTTCAGATAGAAAATTTTACGAACCTCCCGCTGCAATCTAACGACTGAATTAAATGCACCCATAAATATAAAGTGTACTAAAACCACATCTTAAATACACGCTGTCGCTTTAGCTGGAAGTGAGTCTTCATGTTATGGTAAAATACACTTAAGCCATCATCATATCATCATTATAACAATCTGAACACATGCATATCTTCAATCTAGTCCCCTCGCTAGACGTTACCTATTTCTTAGTATTCCACAACTTAAAGGACTTACTAATAACACCGTATTGCACCGGCTTGCTGACTAGTCATTGTGGAATGCGGGAACCCTTGTGTAGGTTAAAATTTTAAATGTTGATGCAAGATTATGGTGGAAAGGTTGGTTCGCGAATTCACTTAACCCGACCTTTACACCAAATCTCGTTGGGACCCTGAACGTGCTAATAAGACTGCGGTCATATCACTTCCCGGGGCAGTTCACAACGTAACATTTGGTGCAAAATGATAACTTGTTTGATGTGCTGGAGCTCGAAATCACAACGACCCAATAAGCCTGTCTGAATCTAAGTAGTTTAGCGATATTTGGAGTGCGAGGGGTCGTATTCAACAGAAAGATCATCAGCGTGTACCCTTAGACAGCGAAGATTAGTCTATAGACAAGCCTGTTGAAGTCATTCCGTCTGTCATGCTCTCCCCTTTATGAGCAATAACTGGTAGATTTTTTGGTCAGGATAAGCAAGTCGAGGCTCAATTATCGGACGAGATGGATCGAGTTGTGGTAAAGGATTTTGATTGAAGGATCTTAAGCTATGGATCGTATGACAGTTTGTTGGAACAAGCAGTCAAAATACCCTACAGCGCTAGCACCGTAACAACGATACAAGGACACCGTTGAAGTGAGATGTGGTAGAACACGTGAGGGTGTCGGTAGCATGTCAAAGGGATCATAAGACCAAAGTTATACAATCCCAATTTTTGTGCATAACGAGTGAGTTGTAAGCGGGTACACGAGATGACTACTTGTCCTCTAACAATAAACCATTCAATCAGTCACCAAGTGTAAATACTATGAAAAGCAAGACCTCCGAGACTGCTGTTTCCAGTCGTCATAATAAATTTCCTCAGAGTAGCAGCTTGCTATGTGTTGTGCGCATTTGCAACCTCTACCGCGATTACTGCGGACGTCGCCACACGGTCGAGGTGCCCACGTTAGTCCCAGTCAGGCCAACTCTATCGATGCAACGAAGTAAAGGAATAGTGAACCATTAAAGTATCGATGATATTCATTTAACACTAGCACAAGAATTTTTCAAATAACTGATGACTGTTTTTAACTCTGGGCGGACCATTGAAATGGTGCAGAATTCACCCAGGCAAATACGCAACCAGCATCTTCTCTAGCGAATCGCCAACAACTTACTCACATTAGGTAAACACATTTTTCACCCAGGTTCGCATTCTGTATGTTCGGAACTTGATGCTGCACACAACAGAGGAGGCACTTCGCGATCATTTCAATCGGGCTATAGGTGCATGTGACGCCGTGGAACGAGTTAAGAAAATACGTGACTACGCATTTGTACACTTTCGCGACCGAATCCAAGCCAATACTGCGCTACGGCAGCTAGACGGTAAGTCCTCTGCTGTATGTAACAGTTTACTAGACTCACATGCCTGCTTCACTCTGTGTACAAAGACAACAACTGGTTCCGTGTGCGCATGCCTACTTTCATTCCATACAGATTTAGTGGTGTGATATATCGCTATACCGAACCAAATGAAGTACTTGCGGCGTCGGTTACATAAAAAATCAAGGATTTCAACGTCGAAGCTTGTTGTGCACAAAATTCTTACTGTGTACATCCAGAATCATTTTCCTAGCATGTTTGCAGCATTCTAATGAGTAGCAAGGCTAACAACAGGCCGATCATAAAAGAGTTCTCCGTCCAAATGTATATTCATTGACAGCCATTTAAATAGGAATGCATGCACCAGGACAGTGAGTGGCATAATAAGTTTCCTTGGGCGGTTGATGTACAGTTTACTCGGAAGAGGTTTAGCGTTCAGAGCAACAGATACCGTGAACGCTAGAGATTGACCTAAGCGACTGCACTTAACCAGATGAAAATATGACAGTCAATAGAGAAAGTGGTTGATTTCTTTGCCACCCTCGGCTGCAGGGAATAATGAAGATCCAATTAATGCAACAAAGTGCGCTACTATTTCGTCCACCTGGCTAACTGCTTCCATCATACACTTTACGCTTTATGATTAGAAGATGGATCTGTTGTGCCGTTGAGAAGATGCATGGTAGTTAGACTTAGCCAGACACCCACCGCGCATCCAGGAAGGCGTTAGATGACCGTTGCGTCCTAGTGGGACTCGTCAGTAGCGCGCATGCACCGAATCACGCTGGGTTAGAAATCCACAACCTTACGAGCCAGCGACTTGTGCCAATGAACCATTGGTGCCGGTGGCGAACCGCCATGACTAAGAACTTACTGTCACTTAGCACGGTTTGTCCTCTACTGTTATGCACTTTATGAACGTTATTAACCCTTAGTTTTGGATATATTTGGGTGTTGCTCTTCCCAATCCTGGCACAGCACAATGGTTGGGATGGGTTGGGAAGAGCAACACCGAAATATATCCATTCAGGATACGGTCCTCGAGATCGCAATGGCCAAGGTTTACCTCAAATTGAGCCAAGGTCTCAATAGAAGTTGCGTGTCGCAACCCAACCACACAGCGTGCTCGCTAAATTCAGCTTTGAACCTTTTGTTTTATCTTTTCAGTGACTGCGCTAAGTCAATTTGACGCGCCTCGTCTGTCAATTAAACTCCGTACACTACGATGAACCGCGGTTACTCCAGGTGACCCTTCAGTCAAGTAATGATGCAAAGGTAGTTCAGTTGTCAGCCCTTCGCCTCCATACCTACACATGCACTGTTCGATTATTTCCAAGTGTTCCTTGGAGCGAACGCCAGAAACGCAAACAACATCCGGTTGACTTTCGTAAACAACAAGACGCAAAATATGGCCATGTTCAGGGTGTCCCCGAGCTCCAGACATTAAACGAGCTTAAGGCCAAAGCGCAGGACTGGGATAAATGGTGTTTTATTCCTGAAATGCTCTCACTTGTGAACGTTATCGCCAATGTGACATTAAGGTTACCGCTATTACTTAACTATAAATAGTATGGTCCCCGAGTGATGAAAGTATCGTTGCACTCCGAACTGATGGCCGAACATATGCTCAAAATGTCGGCACAAAAAGCGTAAAATGCTGCCATTCAAAATACGTATAAAGCCGCTAGGCAATGGAGCATAAATAGAAAAGGTAGCACTGTGCATGCAGTTTACCAATACAATTCCACCACCATGTAACTCAGAACGGAGACAACACCAAAACACGCTTGCAGCTGAAGGAGGACAGGATGGTCACCCTCTTGCTGGTGCTAAGAGCTCTGTACAACAACCTGAACTGGCCCTAGGGCCTGCGTCATCGGTCCTACAAAAAAACGACCGGCAGTCGACCCCCAAGTGTCGGCACAGACCCTCACCGGAAATCAGCATTCACAAACACGCTTCTGACCACTGATGCCCTCACCTGTATATATACCTGTGCACAAGGTCTTCTCAGTAGGCTAACCGAACTTCGTATTCCTCAGGTCTCCACGATTTGGAACCCAGTTATGGTCGCTGAAACATGGCTGGACACAGAGATCATGGATGCTGAGATTGCTATACCGGGCATGACTTCAATGCGAAACGATCGATCTAGCAGGGGAGGCGGCGTGCTCCTGTATTATCGATCCAAATTACATGTTGATGTCATTGAGACCCAGAAACGAAAGTTTTTGATTCTCCTTGGTGTCGTATGCACCTAAGACGTAGTGATGTGTGTTTACTAGAAATAGTTTACCGCCCTCCAGTGTCCACCTTGGAAATAGATCAGTGTCTAGTTTCTGCAACGAAGCGAGTGCTGGCACGATCACAGTCGCATCCTTCTGGTGGAGGACTTCAACCTGTCCGCAATCGAAGTTCCAGCAGCGCACAGCGAACAATTCAAGGCTGAGTTGCAAGAGATTATTGCCGATGTACCTCCGTACAACCGCGTCATCTCTTCCACGCGATTCCGAACAGGTGACACCCTCAGTTTCGGACATGGTGCTTACTAAAGTTCAACTGATGGTCGACACCGTGAATATAGATGCATCATTTGGCCGTAGCGATCGTGCCATGTTGCGCTTTCCTTACTGTTTTTACTCGTAGTACATCAGTGGAAACAACGTGGAAACCTATGTCCCGACAGATGATGATATCCGGTCCAACCTCGTTCAAGAAACAGACTGGTCCTTCCTGGCCCAGCAGCCGCCTGATGTCGCTTGGATGGTGTTCGTCACCCAATTCACCGAACTAGTGGCGAAGGCTTCAGAAAGCAAGGTTTTTCACCCGAATCAAGTAAACTCTTTCCTGAGGAGCCGTACTAGAAAATGCATGGCCTTAAAGGACTCAGCCGGGTGTGCTTACTAAGTCTGTTCAAGTAATCTGACCTGGGCTGCTTACTGTAGTAGACGATATATATATCATTTGAATTGTTATCACCGCAGTCCCCGCATCCATTTCAGAGCCGCACTGCTATGCTGTTGCAGAAGGAGAACGAGAAGACGGAGAAGATTGTCAACCTGGCTACGTGTTGTTTAATACAACTTCATGTCTAATCTATGGATTTCTTTCCGCGTTGAATATTACGTTACATAACTCAACAAAACCACTGCGTCAAGTTGATCCACAACGACAAACTCCAGCACCAACAGAACTTAGGGACGAAATTCCGTACAAAACCCAAGTTGCTGTATGGACACGCCAAATAGCTCCGTAGTGTGTAGCGTGAGATCGCAGTTTTACGTGTAACAGATGGTTTGGCGCAAACTGAACAAGATGCGGTCAACCTGTTTCGCCAACACTTCATCCACACTTACCAGAGTAAATCATCATTTCACCCGCTTTTCACACAGCTTCCATCGTCACCAGGGTCAAACCACATAACGTTCACAGCAGCTAATGTGATGAAATGGCTAATGTCATTGCGCGTACACAACTCACCTGGCGTGGACGGCATCAAATCGAAGGCACTGAAGACAGCGGCCATGAAACTTGCCGAACCATTAGCTCGGTTCTTTCAACCTTGACTCGACAAACTGTAGATTCCCACGATGTGGAAACACAGACTAGTCACACCTATTTACAAAAGCGGTAATCGTGCGGAGCCCTCGAACTACCGTCCAATTACTCTGCTTCCAGTGTTACCCAAATTTGTGAGAGGTATAATCGCAGAGGCGCCCATGGGATAGCTTAATAGCAACAACATCCTAGTGTCACAGCAGCACGAATTCTGCCGAAATCAGTCTTACACTACAAACTTGCTTTTAGCCCGAGCAAGCTGGACAGAGTCAGCCGATGCCAGAATGGGCGTTGACGTTTCTACCTGGACTTCTCAAAAGTGTTCAATTGTTAAAACCACTACATTTTCTTGCACAAGTTTCGACGCTATGGAATCAATGACCCTGTGTTCGGTTGGATCCGCAACTTCCACCCTCGACGTCAGCTGAATGCGAGAGTCCGCAGTTCCATTTCCGAAGCAATCCACGTTCAGTATGAGGTGCCCTCAGAATCCGTACTTGGGCCAGGTTTATACCTAGTAATCATTAACGATCTTACTAGTGTACTGCAGTCGATTTTCTTGCTATTTGCAGATGATGTCAATATCTGGCATGACAAGGAGAAAGCAGATGATCACAAGGCATTGCAGAGCGATCTCGACAGGGTTTATGCCTGAGCATCCCATAACTTGCTCCGCGTCAACGTGGTGAAGTGCAAATTCGTGAGCACACGCCATCAGGTTACCCATGAATAGCAATTTAGGAACCAGCAGTTGTTACGTGCTTCCAAGGAAAACAACCTCGGGTTTATCATGCAGGACGACATTGGATGCTCGAGACAGGCTAAAAAGGCATCAAAATGTGCCAGTCAACGTCTTGGACTCTTACGCAAGATTTTCGGAAAATTTGAGCCGTCAATCTTTCTGCAAATGCTGAACATGTACATGAGGCCCCACGTGGAATATGCGATCCAGACCTGGCGTCCCTGGCGCAAGTGCGACATCAGTGCACTTGAAGCTCCACACCGTAGAGCAACCAAACTCGTTAGAGGATTGACTCCTGTCTCCTACCAGAGCAGACTGCAGGCCCTGAAGTGGTACAGAGGTGAATATCGACGTCAACGAGGAGACCTCATCATGGTTTACTTAATATTGACGAACCCAATTCACCCATGCCGCTATCTGTTGTAGCTGGGCGAAAATACCAACCTGAGAGGTCATCGGCTCAAACTGCCTACGCACTACAGTTGACCTGATTATCGACGAAATCTTTTCTCCCTCCGTGTGTCCCGTTCCTGGAACGCCCTTCCGACCAAGGTCATCCTTGCCCCTACATTAACGTTTGCAAAAAAACTCCTTGATGACATGCTCTCCAAATTGTATTATTTGATGTAGTTTATTTCACGCGGAGGACTAAATAACGCAAACCAAACCACGTGCTTAACGACCCGCCCCGCAACGTGGCAATGAGGATACATGCAGCAGTGTCCTTGTGAATAACGTGGATATATCTAAACTGGATTTACATAACACATTTGTCAAGTGAAGCAATGTATGAGTGCATGTTATCGTTTCTTTTTTTCTCACGAACTTACTGAACTATAACAGCTCACTGTACCAAACAGGAAAATCAGAAGACGTAGACTGTGAGATGACGTAGCCATTTCGCGTTCTGTATACTATTTTGTGTATGCACATCCCATTCCCATTTGAAACTATCGTCTTGCCGTAGTGCATTTAAATCGGTAGACGATTAACATGATGACTTACTTAAGAGTTGACCCTTTCAAATTTAATTTTTATTCCAACCATCGTACGGGACTTGTGAAGCATATGCTCTTTTACCCTTGATAAATCAATGTTCATTGTTCATTGCTGGCATTAGGATTTTAACCCCTGAGATGTTTTGCACACAATAAACGGAAGGAATATAAATTAGCTGATAGACTCTTCAATGGACTCTTTGTAACTGCTGTCAGAAATCGTAATGGCTATCAATTACACCGTAGTAGTAGAAAATATGGGAACAGAAGTGATGATAGACGCTCAAAAATTAACTTACACAAGTGTTCCGCTTGAAGTGATAATGACACTGTCATAGTGCAGCTGCCTTGAATCTGGATCTGCGTTGAGGCCTCGCTAAGCTCACCAAAACCAGGATTCACTTGGCATTTGGTGATCATAATATCCTTAGAAGGCGGCAATGTGTTCCGTACCATACCAAACGCAACATGAGCAAGAGTACCTTCACGTGCATGAATATTATCAGGATGTTTGAGGCTGTAGTTTTTTTCCTGTGAAATTACGTGCATTCTTCTAGTGGTTTTAAATCTCTTATCTCTGGAGACCAATTTCCAACTAACTCTTGGAATCAAACCACGTAAAACAAGCAACCCTATCCAGAAACAGTCTACTAGGATGTACATCAAAAGCGAACAAGTATAAAAACAAGTAAAAGTGGCTCGAGAGCCGAACAATGGATATTTAATCGTGCAACATGAACTTACCTTTATAAGGCTGTGTGCTATTAATTTAAGGGTACCAATGTTTGAACAGGAGCGGTTGCACTGTAGTACGAATGAACGAATCCACTCCCAAGATGTAGCTGGTAGCCGTCTGACCAACCGAGTCTCGAAGCGCGAAGAATTACCTTCGCCCTATTTCTCCACGATGGCGCACGGACACCTTTACGTAATGCATCTGTTTGCCGAAACGTTCACTTCCATACTAATGGCAGATACAACTTCTCCGAACATCGCGATGACGCTGCAAAATGCCAGTCGATTCTCCAAACACTGGTCCACTTTGGCCAACCACCATATTATTCAGATTAGTCAATGGTTTCAGTGAACATTATATTTAGTGAAAAGGTCTCAAGGAGCAACGTGACTTGTAATCCTTACAATTCATTGGAGAAGGTTACTTGATGCGCGAACAGTGTTGGCGAATACTCTAAGGCTGAGCAAGTAAGATGTGTTGCGTGACATCCAATTGTGGTTGGTAGTACCCGATCCCAGATTTGCGTGTCACTGCAAATGCAAACAGCAATACGATGTCATCCCAAGGACGCCATGTAGTGGGCATAGGCGATTGCCAGTTTACATTCACAGTTTCACACACACCATACGCAATGCAAGCCCAAAAAGACAACGCTGCAAGCAAGCTTACGGACTTCAAGGCTCGATCGCAGCTGGTCTACTCCTCGTTAACACAAAACGGAGCCGACATAAAACTGAAGGATAGCGTACCTTCCCAAGGCAGTGACCTGGCAGCAAACCATTTCACGATGAAACCTTCCTTCAGGTTGAGCACGGTCGAGAAGGCTGTTTTTTGAAGTCAGCGCTGGAGGCAGTGTAGTAGAAGGGGTAAACTACTTTATAACTCTCTCGACCACTGAAACCAGGCCCGTAACATCGAGCAGAATTAGTCCTCATGTACTTGGTAACATATTCTCTCTGCTGCACATGTAGACTGACTGTCTTGATGAAGCAGTACACTTAGCAGAGTGGCGACAGTATTAACAACGCATAAACTGCGCTGGTCCAGCCAGTATTTAAATATCTAGCCGATGTTTCACCGAATGATTGCCGTACCGATTCCAGATTCAAATTTGGCTTCCTGTGATATAAATTGCATCTCTGCAGCTATAATCAATCTATCCTTTTTACCAGGTATCAGCAAAAATTAGTCTAAAGTAAGCATTTTTACACGAGATTACATTCAATGGGTTCAGACAAAACATTGGCTGATAGCAGTGTGAAGGCTACATTCCAACAATCGCAGGTGCATAGGAAAATTTGCATGTCATCTTCACATAAGCCCTTGCGTTTTCTCGACCATCCGAATAATAATGGGAATCTCGTAAGCGTCATTTTATACATAGCCATAATACTGCTAATCATGAGGCATAAGTCTGGACCAATCAGTTTAGGAAACAGAATTTAAAGTAACATGTCGATGGAACTGTAATGAGAAATTACTTCCGATCGCCTTCAAAAGATACCCATAACTTATGTTGCGTTCGCTATACCAGTATCTGACAAGCCACAGGTGCGGTGGATGTGCATGTGGTTAGCGGCATCCGGTTTCGGGTTTGCCTGTCACTGTGGCCAGCCACAGGACGCGTGTGCCTACAGAGGGACCATGGGTCGCTTGCGCTGCATCACCCACAGCTCTAACCACATACCCCATGTATTTGGGAAATCAAGCGCACACAAGGCGGTGGCTGGTCCGTAGTCCGCTCCACACTGAGTGCATGGAAGCGGTCTTTGAGCACGGCCACAAGGACCGTGCCCCCCGTCCCCTCCAGCAACGACCAACTGTCTCCTGGAGCCAGTATGAACGATGTAGTGGGTAATAGACAGGTGGGCACCTTGTTAACATGCACATCAAGCGCAGCCACACCGGGGATATCAAACAACAGACATTCACTTGAAACGACAAGATGAAATAAAATAAATCCAATAATGCATACAGATACGGTGGCATAACTCTTCGCTAAATTAGCCAATGAATTAAGTTGGTTGGCAACGAATCCGCGATAAGTAAGAAATGTCCACAAGTTACTTAAAAAGCCACAACCGCAACAGTTGCCGAAGATAAGCGCAATGAGCGTAAGCAACCTGGCCAGTTGATAGAGGATTATTCAGGTAGGCAGAACAAACCAAATAAAGTGAAATGAAATTTCTCCAGCTTGAAAAGACCTAGTTTAAGTGTAAGTTCGTTTAACCCAACTGCGGTGAAGAAGCATCAAGAATGCAACATCAGCCTCAGCATGGGGCACCCCCTTGGATGTGGGCACCTTCAAATATAACATATACTTAGTTCGTGATTATTCGCTAACTGATGTTCTATCGATAAATACGGTACTATATTCCGTGTCCTGAAAACAACTTGTGGCAACGCATCCACTATTTTCAACCTTTTTGTATATATAGCATTTATTTTTAAAATCTATTTAACTCTATTTTTATGTGTGCGCATTTCAGGCACAGTTTTTGAAGGTTCACAGATAGAAGTGACCTGGGCAAAACCTGTCGACAAAAATGACAGCGTCCGTATCAGTAGAACGAACAGTTCGACGGTGAACAATTTACTCAGTAGACTTCAATGTGGCTTGAGTAATCAGGTTCTACCATCAACTTTGATACAACCTGTTGGAATAACAAACTTTACAAACTTGAATTTGATGGACATCACATCATCAAAAGCTAAGTTAAAAACGCCCGTGTCTAACTGCCACGATTCATCAGCTCTGAAGCTGTTCAACTCCGGGAGCAGCGCGAATCTGATACCTCAAATGTCACCACTAAGCGTTGGCTTCAAATCTGCAGAATTCCAGCCATTGGGAAAAACGGGAAACATTTCTGGCACAATGAATGGGACGGTAAACAAGCATCCTTTACACTCTACTCTACATGTTATGACTCCAACTAGTCCAGCTGGCCAGCAGTTCTTAGCAAACGTTACCACTGGAACAGGATTTGTTGTTCCATCAGTGAGGGTGGTACCACAGAAACCGGAGATCAATTCAGTCGACGTGCAAAGCGGTGCATCAGCCTTCTCAACTCCACCCTCTGTTGGAAGTGACCACAGTCATGTAGCAAACGCCAGATCTCTGTGTTTGCTACAAAATCCTCCGACAATGGACATGTACGAGCCAACTCTCAGTGGTCTCACTGGTATTCATCATTCATTCATTCATTCATCATTCATCATCATTTAACGTCGTTTTATAGCTTTGTCTCAATGCCAACTAACCTCAGCTGTTTCGTAAACCATTTCAAACAGTGTCTTCATAGACCAGTCGACTGTGTTCCACTCATCGCCAATGGGTTTCTACATAAGAAGGCAGCCATATTTAGCAATACCACCCCACCGTCATCCGATCACTAGTCTGGCGTAATCGACTCAACTTCTCACAGTTCCGGTCGGATTAAGTATCAATATTACTGTCGGCAAAGTAACCAGTAGTTTTCTAACATAAATTGCGCATTACAGTCGTGTATATGTAAGTAACCAGAGTTAACTGGTGACCAGAAAATTGGTTCATTATGACTTTTAAACCACACCCTCATTCTTAATTGCTCATTTTAGTTCTAGTGGAATTAACTGCTCATGCTGCGCCTGTAGAATGGGAGATAAGGTCACGGATCGCGTAGTAAAGCTGTAGATGCAGTAGCTAATCATTACTAGGAATAAGGCTAAAGTGACCTCAGACAAGGCCTTGAGAAGAATATTCATTATTGCCCTCAGTTCGACCCTAATATACGGTTGCAAAACCTTGATTCTCAGCTTGAGATGCATGAAGAGGCTAGTTGCATCGAGCCATCGATGCCTTCAGGTTACACTTCATAACTGGTGGGAGCACCACATGAACAAGGAGTCCGCTAGCTGTCTTTTCTATGGTTCAGGAATCGCAAATCAATCACCCTGCACCTCTGTTGCTCGCACCAAGTCCGCATGACAGAACCATGCGCTACGCATGTTAGCATATCGGCTCAACGTATACATGCCAGGGATCTGAATGGAAAAAGAAGGAAAACCGCTGCATAGCCCACCAAGAACCGGAATAAAGTTTAAACCGAGAGGAAATCTGTTATCCGTAAAGCAAAGTATGGTCCATACTGTGCATAAATGGGGCGCCATTTGGTTGTAACGGCTTCACACGGGTGACTTTTACTTTGCGCACCTTTCGCTGTCCACCTATATTCATTGGTCCGTAGCTTCTGCTTGCTGCGATAAACCTCTAGTTTGTTTGCTTTGTCCACCACCAGTCCTGCTATGGCGCGTCAGTCCTTCGTCTGCATGGCCAGTGCAATTAAGGTCAAATGGTGTCGGTGCCGCCTGATTCGCTTATTGTTAAGTCTGTACACTGGGTGCGATTCTGATTATTTGCAAAGCTCCCAATCCAACCAGGGGATGTAAGAATGCCCTTTAATCAGAACAACTGCCAAAACACAGCCTATTCAGCTAACGTGCGTAGTAAATAGGCCCTTTCCAAGTAGACTGTTCACATTTCGAGACTTCATAAGAGCAACGGCATTCTTATCGGCTGCAAGGCGGGTGTTAAGCTTAGTTGATAGCGCCAGATGGAAACTGGTTCTCGTGACATTAAATGGTCCGATAAAAGCTGTGGCGTCAGTCGGACAAGCGGCAACAGTATTTGATGGCTTTGTTCTACAAGAACTATTGTAAGATTCTGAAGAAAGCGGCAGAGCTGACACATGGATAAACAGGACCACCAGTCCAACGACGTCTTCTGTAAGATCCCACTGCCTCAACATGGTATCTTGTCCTACCGATCCAGTAATAGAGTAAAAAGCTGGTTCCGGCTGGAAATGCAGTGCTCCGCCCTACTAACGTTCCCCTTGAAATAGCTACCTCACCTTTAGACATGAGCCGGGAGTTGACATACAGTCTTGACTGTTATCTTCCGTCGGTGTGACAACCACTTGGTTGGAAGGATTTCAGCAAAATTTCAATGCGCTTTGTTTCCTTTTCATTTTCCGTTTGAGCATCGCTGTCCGCAGCATCCTTCGGCAAGTCAGAATTCTCCACTAAAATATCAAACGGTAACCCATCGGGCATGGTCGTTTCCGGCCGGTGCAACGATGGCGCGACTGGTTTGCATGGCAGATCCACTTGTCATCGTTTATGGCCACTCCGTAGGAGATATATTCCAGTCATTTTGTGACCAATCCAGGTGTCGACCAGACGTTGCCATTTCAATTGTATTTTGCCAACATCCTCTAACCAACATGTTGGTCGGTGGCCGAGTAGTCTGCACGCCGGATTATAATCATAACGTCCCCGGGTCGCATCGCGTAGGGGCACGCGTCCTCGCGGTATACTCAGCTCACACGCGACTGGTGGTGATTAGGGGCCGGCGAAGTGCCCTTACGGCGTAAAGCTGGTAGTTTATTTTTTTATATTCTATCCACCATCAAAATGCCGCACTGTAGCTTGATGTCTTCGGTTGTTTTGATGTTCCATTATCATATTTCTTTCTGAATTTCATTTGTAAGGCGGCCTTATCAGATCAACTCTTTTTCTAGACTTTTTAAGCAAGAGCGATTCTGCTGCAAATTTTCTGTCATGGATCTGTAGATTGCGCCTAATACGGCATGTTAATAGAAAATCCTGTAGGACCTCTTGAATTGGTCCGTCACTTTTGGCTTTGAGCAGAAATCTATTGAAGGTATCCGCGAATGCTTCTGTTTGCCCCTTATATTGGGGTGATAAGGAGGTGAAGTAACGTGCTCTATGGCGTGCAGCGCACATAATTCCGCGGTGTGTAAAGATATAAACCAGGGTCCATTTTCGGATACTAATGTTCCTGTGAGACGGAAACGACCAAATAGTGATGGTGGACGATGTTGAAGTGTTTAGGATGTGAGAAATCTCCGGCGACTTAGTTCACGCGTCCATAATTAGCGATAAATTCAGTCCTTCGATCGGTCGTGCATAACTAAAGTGAACTCTTGACCATGGTATCTTGGGGGTCGGTCAGGAAAACAGTTCGTATCTCCATCGTGACTTCGCTGTTAGATCAGACTTTAAACACGAATGTATTAGTTCCTCAAGCTGAGAATCCATAAACGGCTAGTACACATAACTTCTTGTCAAAGCTTTCATCTTGTTCAATTCTGAACTTCCAGCATGAAAATACCTTAGCGTTGTGGATTGGAATACAGCTGGGATGACGACGCGTTCACCGTACAGTATACAGTCCTGGACAATAGGTAAGGCATTTCGTCTCTTCAAAACTGTTGGGGATACGCCTCAGCAACTTTTCGCGGGGCCACTATGAATGGTGAAACCTGATCACTTGTGACAACAACGGGCCCGTAAATTGGTGTCTTGAATCAGCCTGAAAGATATTGCGAGCTGGCTCACTGTATCTGAGAGCACGCGGTTGACTTCCGTCTCGATGCAGACAGCTCCTACCTCTTCCAAGCATCTAGTTCGACCACTCGTGCTTTTCTTAGTACTGGATTCTCAATGTTCTTCAACCGAGCGCTATGGTAACTAATGCTTCAGTTTTTTTGGTCATCATAATATTATTTTAGAATAGTTGTTATACACATATAGGTGGTAAAGGTGATAATAAAAAATTTTGAAAGAGAAAATAAAATTCTGCTGCCTTTGTTAAAGAAATTATTCGTAGCAAAATATTTAAAATTATTTTTATCCTCCTTTTTTTATCAAACTGATTATTAATCTTTATGTACAGTTTCATGCCTCCAGGCCACGTGTCAAAATAAAAAATATATGATTCAATAATACTATCGCAAGGAATAAAACGTAATACAAAAAAAAACAACATTTTCTACCAACACATTTACTAAACGTCAGGCCTGTCTTTGACTTCGGTTATGTAACGACTCATTAGGTACCTGTCAGTGTATGATATTCAAGGCTTCTGCATAGCAAGAAAAATAAAGGGTGGGGTTGAGTGAAGTGAGGCTGGAGAGACATGTTAAACAAACCTACCCTAGGGCTCAAAGAAGTAAGGGCAAAAAATTGACGCAAAATATAACACCCCATTCTGGTGGGTCGCAGCTCATGGTCAGAATGGAAAATGTGTTGCATGTGAATTCGAACAACAGAGTATGATCCAAGCGAAGGTAATTAGTTAGTTGCATTTGTAATCTAGATTGGGTTATACTACCCTTACCAATATTCCAAACAATCAATAGATTTGGTTAAAAACCTATCTGTTATATAACGTAGAGTTCTAAAAACCAGCATACCAAAAAAAAATGACCATGATGGTTCATACCAAATTAAAACAAATAGCGATTATTGTATTGCTCCTCCTGCATCAAATATTGTTATTCGTCCAGAAGATGTTGGGACTGAAAGTGAACCTAACTTTCATGAATTCGAATGAGGCAATAAAAACGTTACCATCTGATCGAAGATTTTATTTTCCGTTCGCATCAATACAAATAACTATACATAAACAATGAGCAGTCTGTTACTACCTATAGGAAACACCTTATTACGGGTCGATAGGGCAAATTAACGGTAATTGATTTGCAAGTAGTACGTACCTTTAGCTCCGATGATTGCTAGCTGGATGATGACACAGGCTTAGTAGCCCTAATAAGGTTTTATCAAAAATACCGCGAATTACATAACGATTAACAAAATACTCTGTATGTCCGGCACACATTCAATCATTAAAACAACTGTTTCGATAGAAGTTTACTGACTTATCTAGGTTCCATCCATGTAAAAGTAACCCATCAGTTTTTCTCACCAGCTAGAATTATGTATTCCTAGAAACCTCAGTTTCCAACCACTACCTACCCATCGAACAACCCATACCTTATTTAGTCTGGACCAGCGGTCTGACTACATTGGGTTTGACAACTTCTTTTATACTAGAATTTATCACCTCGGCCATTATACCCCAAAAAATACCAATAAAATTACTAATTCTGGTACCGAAATTAATATCTACAATTGGGTGGGGTTTTTTACTCCAAAACCCGCAAGCCCAATTTCAATTAGGGAAGTTTAAATTTATTCCGAAATCCACTGGTATGCAGTTAGTTCTATACGGAAAAATAGAGGTCCGTATTTAATCCTGGTAAAGTGGAAAATTCTGAAGTAATCTATGTAAAAGGAAACTTTTCTCTCACTTGAATTATACCTTAGATCCAGCTATGAATTTTGGAGATGGTAAATTACTGCTTAATTAGTTTTAGCTGCTTCATCTTCTAACTTTACTTTTTGCAATATGTTTCCGCTTTTCCTTCTTCATCTTGAAACAAACGGTCAACAATACATTTCTAAGTTAAGTATTCAGCAACAAAAATGCAGTCGCCCAAACACTTAAAATGACCGGTAAATGAATGTAATTTACATTAAAGCTGACAACTTTTAGATAAACACAAAGGTTACTAGTAATAATTTAATAAGGAAAGATCGGTTAAAAGTAAAACTGGTTTCCAAAATTTTCTTTTTTTCCTAAAATTATCGGTTCCGTTGTTATAACCAATAAACCCAAATAAAAGTAGGTTTACCCAACCAAAAAAAAGAAACTAAACTTAGAAGTTTCTTTTGGCATTTTAGAGCCTAATTTATTTGCAAACTTATGTTTTGCATAGTCATCAAGCGCCCCTTTATAATGCGTAGAAAGCTGAGGTGAAGAAAAAAAAGCGCACTCTGACTATAATTAATGCTAGTTGCGAGCAGTTTTTCCAGCTTGACATTTAGAACGTTGCAATGCTGTTTGAAGTTTTCAATATGGCTTGAAAACTGGCTGCTCATCACTGATTGTAGAATTAAACGCCGTAAGTGGGCAACGCAGTCACGAAAGTGGCCATGATTCATTTCGACGTTAATAGCGGTCCACATAGAGACTGTGCCGCAGGCCACCCAGACAGCGTGTACCCACATTGAAAACAGTATAGTTTTAATTTACCTTATCAAATCCCATATCTACCAGACAAGTCATCCGCGACATTTTGACAATATTAGATATCGTCTCCTTTCTCTATTCCAGCAGCTGAAAAATATATGTTTGGGAAAAGGATTTGGACTACCGAAGATCGTCGTGCATGCACACGAGCCGGGCAGTCACTTGACCGGGGAACAGAACACTCTGTACACGGCGCAGGTAGGCACCCATCAAAGAGCAATTAGCAGAAACCGCTGGATGACAATTTTGATAGATTATACGTATCCAGGTTGTAAGTGGAACTATACACGTTAATGGCATCAGTGACGAGCACATTTAAAGGAACCTAATTTGTCCGTGACTGGTGATCACAACAGAATCTGTCGGATTACCTGAGAATCAACTCAACAGTGACTGAAATCCATAAGTAGGTTCCCAAGAACACCGGTCTACCGTCTGCATTGTTAAATGCACATAAATCCATCGCAGCAAATGTTAAGAACAGGTTTCCGAATGAAAGTAGGAATCAGCAATACAACCTTCAGCAGCTGCATGCACATTGACTTACTGCAAATTCGCCCCAGTTTATGTAGGTTAGTACTGATGACCCATGGGTCACATTCCAGATGCCTAAGCATTCTACCAACTCACTAACAAAAGGACTCCAGAAAGTCATTGAAAGTGTACCTAATGGTCGATTAAGTTTAAATTACTCACACACAATATAAGAGAAATCAGCGATACTAGGTGTATAGTAAACTATATACTTACACAACAACAACAATCACGTCTGACCAAGAATAATCTCTGGAGCGAAGTAGTAAAGCATTATATTTTGAGAAAACGAAGCAGTTAGCCACAGGGTTGCCATATCATCATCCTTGTCATTAGAAAACCCAAAAAGTGAATACAGGGTCATCAAAGGTCTTGAAAACATTATCATGCAACGGGAACGGGAATGGTTTTTTCATGCCTCGACTTTTGTCACTTTCATAGTTCATGATATCAAACACTTGGGTGTAAACAAGTATACAGGCAGTGCATGCATTTAGTTCGGTTACTCACTATATCTAAAAGCGTTCTGAGTCATCTGCAGCCTTCTTCCTTGGATTCATAGTAGGAAAACGCATGGAATTTACGATAGTTAAACGAAAAGACAGCGTGCTCAAGTTCACGTGTTGTGTTCCAGCACAGCATTGCAGTGACGAATAAGGTGAAGTGTGATAAACACTAGCGTGATATGAGTAGGCGAGAGGACTCGTATTCTCCATGCTGATACCTCTAAGTTCTTCGTTGCAAAATCCATTTAATCATCACATATGGGCGATCATACTCAAACACCCATTATGAAAAGCAGAAAAACCACTCATGGCATCTAAGTAAAATGGCCAGAACTCAGTTCCTACAGCAACTCCGTATGAAATGAGGCATTGCACATCTGACACTTTAACCAGAGAGATATTCCGAAAGCTACCCAAGTGTCACAGATTGGCAGGCACCGACCGGGTTTTGACACTGTGAAGAACCACTTCCTTGCTGATAGCACCATCGATAGAGATACAGTTCTCAGGTAACCAATGAATAATGAACAATGAATTTATGCGGGTTAAGAAGCTCTTATTTACAAGCCCAATTGGGTGGTTTGGTGTCATATTGAAAACGTTAATAAATGATAAACTTATTAGTTTTACTGTCAAAAGAAAAAGTTGTATTTAATGCAGTAGCCATGCAACCTGTGTATTACCATAGCCTCAACAGGTGCAAAAAATTAAATCCAAGGTATTTCCCAGGAGTGGGATTGAAAGTAGCTTCAAGTAACAAAATGCAGTTGGCAAAGTGCGTCATCCAACCAGCGTCTAAATATGGCTAGCGTGGGTGCAGAAACAACCGCTACAGAGAGTGTTCCATGTTTGACACACGCGAATAGAAAGGAGAAGACTGTACTGTTCTGTTAATTTCAAGGAGTGACCTCTAAAGTAGCTGTTACTGCTGAGTTACAGTAGAGAGCGGCACACCTGATCTGGATTGTGTAAAATCAAGTATGCCATAAGAAAGTCGTCTCGTAATCGTTGCAACCCTAATTAATTTGGTTGATTTTGCATTCCAATAACATAATTAGAAGCCCGACATTGAGGCCGGTCCAGCACAGTAATGTCATGCTTCAGTTGAGAGCTAGTATGCTTGAATTGCGTATTCAACATAGGGGCGAACATATGCATTGAGCATCTCTGAAAATAGTGATATCTAGTTGTCCGAAAGCCTGTCGCAACAAGCCGACGTGCTGGTTACCAGTTTTCGATGCCTTTCCGGAATGTCCAGAACAACCCCAAATTGTTCTTAACCAGCACGCCATGGTCGCCTTCGACAGCTGAGCGCTTGCGTTCCTACAGGTACTCTGATGTCCTATAGAGAATACCTTGCATGTGTGCACGTTGAACTGCAGTAGATTTTAGGTTGACCACTGATATACCAAATCTACGTCACACTGAATTCTATTCTGATCGGTATCCGCCTGAATCCTGCGCGATCTCTTAATATCGTTAGCAAACAGTAGGAAATTTGAGACGACTTTACGTGCAAGGTCATTAATAAATGACAAAAACAATCGATGACCTAGTACTGAGCCCTGAGGCACACCACACCCAACTGGTATTGGGTCAGATAAAGAAGTCCGGACTCTGACCACTATTTGTCGTTGAAGCAGTATGTTGACGATCCAGCTCAAGTGAACGGTCACCGATCCCGTAATATTGGATCTTGGAAAGGAGAATCCGATGATCTAAACGAACGAATGCCTTCGACAAAACCAAGTAGATCAGGTCAACGGCCTCTTAAGCGTCAGCTGACTAGGTCCAACTACCCCATGCGATGAGTAAATCCAAGGTGCATGATCGCTGTCGATGATCTTCGTGTTTCTAGGGACCAATAATGTTACAATTTTCTAGATAACACACCAACGCATCGGCAACGATGGATTCCATTAATCCAAGCAGAAATAAGACATAGATTGCGATATGTCAACATTTCGATTGTTCTCCTCAGCCGCATACACAATACAAGCCGAAACACATACACACACATACATGATATACCTGTACATACATACATGACATACAGAAAAAATTTAGCACCCCAATCAAAACGTCAAAATCAAGACCAAGGCAACCTAATTAATTGACTCAAGAGTTTCTTTGCACATAGCACAGGTTGATAGGCCCTGATTAGCAGTTGTGTCTCATGTACACTACTCGCAAACTTGTTCCTCATAATCGTCAGAGCCACTCTTCGGCTAGTTCGCCCTCGTGTGGTTTACCAGTTCACCTGCAGTTGCAGTGACGTTTACATAGGCAGGACTAACCGTTACTTGGTTCAGAGGGTGGCTGAACACTTGCCAAAGTGGGTGGAACAAATGATGACGCAACAAAATGGAGCGCCCACCCAGAATGAACCGGATTCCGTCGTCATCTATCGCCAAGCACCTCGTGACAACTGGTCACAAGGTGGACCCGAAACTGTGTTCAAGGTGTTATTACGTAACCGGAACCCGATAATGTTGAAAATCAGTGAAGCGTTGCTAATTAAAGCCTATCAACCTGTTCTATGTGCACAGAAACTTGAGGCAATAAGTAAGGTTGTCTTGGTCTTGATTTTGACGTTTTGGTTGGGTTGCTATATTCTTCCGATGTACACATTTGTGTATGTGTTACTGCTTGCATTGTGTATGCGACTGAGGAGAACAATTGAAATGTTGACATATCGCAATCTATGTCTTTCTTTTGCTTTAACCAAATGGCTGAAGGGAATCTAATGTTTTAGGATTCTATCAACTTAAAGACTACACGGAATACACATACTGGGCGGTTATTTGAGTGCTCATTCTTGCATCCGCCTCTGTGAATAGTTGTTTTATTCCTTGTTTTCTCATCGCAGAAACCTGATACTGGTCTAAGCAGCGCTGAAACAACTGGGACAAAGGTTATGTCAGGTGTCTTGATCCTGCTTCCAGTGTCTCTGGACGAAGAATGTCAACTCCCGGAAAGTGCTGTTGCGCGGTGACTTCAGCTTCTGTAACACAGCTTCATCAGTAAAAGACCTGTGGGTGGTTACTAGAAACGGGAAAACTAACGTTCGATGATCGTCTGATGTTAAAACCCTCTGAAATATGGAGGCATATTGCGTCCGCAATGCGGCTATTGCTTCTATAGCTGTTACAGTTGGACCATCAGCCTTCCGGAGTGGAGGAATGCTCTGCCTCACCTTATGAAGGCCATTGAAGTACTCGTACAGCAGTTTGTGATCATCACCGAAATTTTGCTTCATGTTCCGCTGATTTGCGGCTTCTTTATCTCTGAGCAGTTGGTTGCAGTGGTTATGAAGGGTTACGTATTTGTCCCAGTTACCTGGCCTTGATGATGAGTTTACTCTCGCCAGCCTGCGTTGCATATAGTCATCGATCGAGTTCTGCCACTTTCGGATGCAACGATTTTAACCCCATTACAAATCGTTGTCTCTGAGGCATCCGTAGCTAGTTGATAGAATTTACTGACGAATTCGAGCCAAGCGACCTCCGGATATCATTCGGCTAGGAAAGACCGGGTTGTGGCACTGACGAGTTGGGCTAAGCCGTCGTAGCGTGTAATAGTATACATAATCACAGTGCTCTCGTGACGATATTCCACATAGCGGATGAACTCGAAACTCGAATTACTGCGACCCAAAAGGTAGTAGTACATCAATCAAATGTTTCTCGGTGCTGGAAACAGGATCCAGCAAAGAAGATCTATTACCTGTTCTGAAAGGAGTGGACAAAATGGAGTGATTGTAGAATGGAACAATGGCTATGAGCTCCTGCAGCTCGGCTTTAAATTGTTCCGCGATTGTAGCAGGGGTTACCGAACAATGTACGTTGAAATCGCCTGTGATAAAAAAGGTGTGTGCGCTTTCGATTCAGACTACATCATAAATCTGTCGCAAGGGGGCAGTCCATTTCGGATGTAGATTTCGGGGGACGGTACACTAAAGCCATAAGGCACGTGTCTCTGCCAAGTAGGTACAGGCCGCACCAAAGACAACTTGGGAACTATGAGTCTGAATGATCCAGGACTATGCAGGTTTGCTACTTCGGTAGTAAAGAATTATTCCTCCTCCCTTTACAAGCCTGTCGTTTCGGATGAGTGACAAGCCAGGCAAGGAGACTTCAACGTACGTCATTCCAGTGT